GCTAGGGGGCGGGGCGGGGCCAGGGCTGCCAGGTTTTGTGTATGTTGGCAAGACAAACACAAAGTGCTCGTATATGCTTCACTGCAAACACCCACACACACACACACACACACACATACATACACACACACAAATCACGCAAATGGCCGCAGGACACTTTAAGAAGAATCCAATGCCTCAAGTGTCGAGTGGAAACTGCGAACGGGCAAATGGGGAGCCGAGCTGGGGCAACTGGGGAGCTAAGGCAACTGAAGTTGGCGGCCAAAATCAAAACGCTGATGAGTAGGCAAATGAAAAAGTTTTTTTTTTTTTTTTATTCTCTCTCTGTATTTTCGTTTGGACGCGGGAGGCGCACAAAAAGCCAAAAGCAAAAAGCCAGAGCCAAGCAGAAGGCAGAAGGCAGCAGGCAGCAGGCAGCTGGCAGCAGGACGCAGTTTGTTGCACACATAGCACAGCCGGCACATGAGAAAACTTGTGCTGCTTCTTCCTCTACTTAGCCAGCAGCATGTTACAAAAGGCCACGAAAAACTGAAGCCGTTGCAGAGAGTCGCCGGCGCATATGGGAAATCAGTCGCAAGTCCTATGAAAATTTGCTAGCAAAAGTTGCAGAATGTCTGTGAGTGTATGTGTGTGTGTGTGTGTGTGTGTGCCAAATTGTACAAATATATGCGCTGTATGTCTGTGTGTATGTGTATGGCAAAAGTTGAGTTGGAGTCGAGTCGAGTCGAGTCGAGTGTAGCAGATATTAAAACGCTGCAAGGCTTTCAAAAATAAACTTTGAAAAATTTATTAGAAAATATTAAATAAAAACGACGATTGCGCTGCATATGCCAAAAGCTGAACGGAATGAATGAGCATGTGGCTGGGTGTATGCCACATGTGGCACATGCCACACATGCCACATTATATATATATATGGATGTATGATGTATATACATAGATATTTTATATATGGGTTTAACTGGAAAGCTGGCAACATGCGATTGCTTGGGCTGCGTTGCAGAGCAAACATTACACAAAAACTCACAGACAACATACACGCACACACACATACACCAGTGTTTTCATAGCTAAATCTTCAAAAATTGAATTGCAAGTCAAGCAGCTAAAGCAGCAGAAGACGATAAAGCAGCAAGATAAAGTCAACAAATAAAAATTGCGCATACGCCCCATTGTGCCGAGGTAAGTCAATTATATGCAGCAAAAATCAAATAAAACCAATTCAATGTTCACCATATGCAGCTAAACTAACTGTAAGCTGATTTTTATGAGAAATATTTGACAATTTTTAATGCTTGAAATTAAAAAAAAAAAAAAAATTATTATTGAATTTAGCTTAAATTTTGCGAAAGGGGAAAATTGTATAAAATATTTTAAGTATATATAAAATTGCGAAATATGCATTTTTAAAATTGCTAACCTTAAAGAAATAAAGAAAAAGTAAAGCAAAAGTTTCTCATTTATTATATTTAAATTGATTCTATTACGGCGTCAAACGTTAAACTACTAAAAACTTACAAAAATTTTAGACTAGATCTCCTAAAAATTTTTGATAGTTATAAATGAATAATTTGAGAAGCAATTTTAAAATAGTAAAAAAAAAAAAAAAAAAAAAAAAAAAGAAACATATAATGGCATTCTTATTTATTTGTTGATGCAAAATATACCTTTGCTTCTTGAATTATCTCTTCAAATAATCTATTCACTTTATGTTAGTTAATTATATTATCTATGTATTGAACTTTCAGCCCGATGGTAATTTTTATGCTGACTTCAGATTCATTATCAAATTTTTAATATAGATTACAAGACTTAGAGAGTAATACAATTAAAAGTTAATCGACTTAGAAAGCAATGGATATTCAAAGTAATTGAAATATAGAGCACAAATATTATAGAGTAACTGTATATAGAAATTAATTGTATTTTGCTTTATTTTTTGCTAGCTATAACTCAAACATAGAACTCAACCAGCTCAACTCAGTTGGGCTGTCAATTGCAATCGAATTCGTTTCTTTTTCTCTCGAATCGATCGCAAAGCGCCTGAGTTCATTTATTCATGTTGGCTGCGGCGTCGCTTATTCATTTATTCGTTGGGGGCTAATCAAGTGTGCATGGAAATTAACAAGAATGCATTCGGTTGAGTGCAGCTCAAACAGCATCAGTTGCAGTTGCAGTTGCAGCCATTCAAGTGGCAAATGCTACTTGCAACGCTTGCAACTGGCAACTGGCAACTGGCAGCAGGCAATGCGCATTTCCTAATTGGCGCAATTTGCGTGTGCATATTGCAATAACAGCATTTACAACAACAACAGCAACAACAACAACAGCAACAACTCACAGCAGAGGCAACACAAAGCAAATCGACAGCAAGTGGAACAAATGCAAACGCAGGTGCAGCGACCCGCAGCAACAGCAGTAAAAGCAGCACCAGCTCCAATTGCCTTTCCACCACATACCCTTCAAGCTACGTTTTTCAAAGGGTATATAGCGCTTATGGTGTGATTTGTAAAGATTGTCTGACTGACTGACAGAGCTTTTCCTGTTCGAATTTTGATGTATTCTTGTGTGCATTGTATCGAAAATGTGGAGCGAATTGAATCTCCATTCAATTTGACGTTCTATCATATATTATTGGATGAGCGCAAGGTTAGTTTGAAAGATAGTTGAACTATGCCACTGAGGCTGTTTTATATTTAAACGAACCCATTTAAATGATTGTATGTTTGGTGAGAAAATCAACAAAAAATCGGCTGGCTCCTTTATAGATTATATTATTCTTATTTGAAAAATATTTCAAATTATTTAAAATTTGTTAAAATTTGCTTAAAAATGTGAATATTTTCATCCATTTTTTTTTTAAATTTAAAAAGAGATAAGCCTGAATATATATACATGTATATATTATTTAATTCAAAATATATAAAACGTATTTTTTTAAATTTTATTTAATTTGAATTTAAAATTATAATGATAAATGCATATTACTCTCTATCTTTCTTTATCTCTCTTTCCATCTCCGTCTCTCTCACTCTCACTCCCTTTCTCTCTCTCTCTTTCTCTCACTCTCAGCATCAGGAACCAAGAATATCAAGTCTTGTATTGCTTAAGCTCGCATCACCAACAACATTTCATTTTGATTGTAAAGTTAGGGCATCTCCTAGTCGTTCTATAGCCACACTAGCTGCTTCAGCTGGCCGTTAGCCTGCGTCCGTCGACGGGCAATTGCCATGTTGCCAATGTTGGCAAATGTTGTTGCTGGTAATGATGCCCAATTGCAGCTTAATTAACACACAGCGCGTTAAGCGCTTTGTGTGCCACAGCAACAGCAACAGCAACTGCAGCAGCAGCAGCAGCGGCGTCGGCAACAGTAATTTGAATGGGCATTCAAATGCAGAGTCTCCCCCCTCCCTCCTATCCAGCCACCGCCACGCCCCTTTCATTACCGCCGTCAGTTGACCTGATCCTTTGACTCTTGCCTGTAATCGAAATCAGAGGCGAGCGGAGGCAAACTGAAAATGTATTTTAAATACAACGCATACAAATTGCCAATTGAGAGAGCAACATTTTTGGTGGCTGCCACAGACGCAGCGGCGGCACGTGTGGCAGGCAGCCACAAATACAGCTGCGTTTTGTTATTGTGCCACAACACAAACGACTTTGACTTTACTTGGCGTTGGCCAATGCCGCCGCCTTCGCTCCCGCTTAAACCAGTTGCATGTAGAGAGAGAGATGGATAGAGAAAAGAGATAGATGCAGAGAGTGTGAGAGAGAGAGCGAGAGAGAACAATAGCTGGTAGCAGTTGTCGCCGTTGTCGCAACTGGCGAAGGTCGCACAAAACATTGCCCGCCTCCTTGGCCCCCCTTCCCCCCCCCCCCCCCCTTTGCAAGCCTCGCCTGCTGCTGCTGCTTTTGTGCTGTTGGCCTCATTTGAATGCGATTTTGGTTTTGGCCACGCTTTGAACTTTGGAACTTTGGCCAAAACAAAAAAAGAAGGCAACAAACAAATTTGCTGTTGTTTTTGTAATTCTTCTCCTGCTGCTGTTGCTGCTGTTGCTGCTGTTGCGATTGTTGTTGTTTTGTTGCATGTGGACTCTTTGTGGCTGGCGGGCATTTTGGCCATGCCCACCGCTTAGTTTTTGGCTGGCTGGCAAGCGAGCCGCTACAACAACAACAACAACAGCCGGTCAATCGCAGCAGCCTGCCTCTCCCCAACTCGCCCCTTGCCCCTTCTCCAATCGGTTGCCTCATCAGCCAACGTATTTTATAGCCTTAAAGGTATGGAAAAAAAATAATGTGACCTTTCCGCACCGCACCGCAGCTCTCATTTTGCCGTCATCTTTAGCCAATGCACACTAATACCCACACACACACACACTCGCACACACATAACTCAGCTGCGGGCCAAGTTTGTCGAAAAATGCCCGCGGCTTGGTACAATTTTTGTTGTTTTTTTGTTGTATTTTGTTATATTCATTTTGCTTCGTTTTTTTTTTTTTTTTACTTTGTTTTGCTCTTCGTGCTTTTGTTTATTTCTCCTTTGGTGCGGGCCGAGCAGCACTTGAGGCGCATCAAATTTTTAAAACGTCTGCGTTTATGGCACACAATTTTCGGACTCAAACTCGGACTCGGACTTGGACTTGGCTGTGGCTGTGGATGCGGCATGGGGCATGGGGCATGCGGCATGTGGCATGTGCATGCCGCAGTTGTGGGAGAGACGAAAAATCAGTTAAGCCTGCGGCGCCAACAACAATAAAAGGGGGTAAAACCAAAAACAAAAAACAAAAAATGCTGAAAGAGATTTCTCTGTGGCATGCAACGCAGAGAACGGCCTTTATGTGTGCTCAAAATTCGTTTATTACAGAATCTTTTTCGAACTAATTTATTGGCTTAGATAGACAGACAGGCAGGCAGGCAGAGAGATATACAGAGCGATAGTAGGAGAGAGATTGATTGAGAGGTTTTGGTTTGCTGTTAGAGAAGCGTTGGAATTTACTTACCGCTTGGGACACGAGGACTCCACCGTCAATGGTGATCGTTGATCCAATGCAACAAATGGAGTTCTAGAAACGAAACATGAATATATGAATATTATAAGATAATGCCGATAGTAAAGCCAAGTATTATAAAAGACCATCAAGATCTGAGCCTGAGCATACAGTGAAAAATAGAGAGAGGCAGATAGATCTTACGTGAATATAAATAAATGTTTGCCTAAACTCTTGTCAAGATCATCAGCTAAAAGGCCTTCAGGCTAGCAAAGATTGAAGCCCTTTGGGCGCCAGCATGATAAATATATGTATTAAAAGATATATTGTAGAAACTAAAACATTTTCTTGAGAGCTACAACTCAACAACTTTCCATAACAACAACAAAAAATCTTTGAATTTAATAACAAATTTCATTGAGAAAATCAAAATAAACTGTTGCATCTTAAGGACGCACACACTAGAGCATAGAGATCAAAACAGAGGCAAAACACACACATAGACATATATAAACCACACACACACACACACCACTCACTCTCCCACACACACACACAGACACACACACACATACAATGCAAATGGAACTCACAAAAAAGTCGGTATATTTAGGAAATGCACTTTAACTATTTTATATGCAACAGCGCGCGTAGACAACAAATATAGATCGATGCTGTTTGGATTTCAAGTTTAGTTTAGCTTTGTTGTTGACTTTGTGTATATATTTTATTTGGCTAGCATTTAATTTCCGTTTCTAATGTTAATTTAAGCGCATTGCCAATTGAAATGGCTTTATAGAAACACACACACACACACACAGACCAAACAGCAAACAGCACACTAAACAGAGTGTTCAAATTCACTTAAAATGTTTACTTCCGGTTTCCGGTTGTTGTCGCGCCCGCCGTTTGTTGCCTACTAATCGCTGAAGCGCCTCTCAATTGCTTTTTACCTGACTTGCATTCGCGCCGAGCGTTCGCTGTGAACTGAATCCCTGTTCGAGCTCCAACTGGCTTTTACTCCATCTCAAACATGTTCGATGCTGGCCAACGCGCTTGCCCCGCAGGCTATGCAAGCAGCAAATGGGATTGTATTGGGTCTTGGGGTAGACGAGGACTCGACTATGATATGATAAGTGGATTATGTGCATGGAGTTGAACGGGAAATGTGTGATTAAAGCAGATTATAAGAATTGACGAATGAAGTATTGAACTCTCCAATTCATATACTCCAATTAGTATATATATATTCGTATTCTAATTAGAATCATCAATCGATGATTTCTCATTAGAAATATTTGAATTTTAAATGTTGTAAATTCTTTTTGTTTAATCCAATTTTATTGAAATTAAATTGAATTTAAATTAGTTTCAAGCAAGGGGCTAGCCAATTAAAAACTAATTGAATTCAACTAATTTGAAAGTTGTTTACATTAGCTTATTAGAATGTTGCCGTGGCTTGACGTGCGCGTTGCAAGTCGTTGTTGGCTTCGAGCTGCGCTCGAGTTGCAGGTTGTGTCGGATGTTTGACGTTTGACGTCTTTAGCAAATGGCGACCTTGGAGAGAGCAGCTGCAGCAGCAGCAACAGCAGCAGCAGAGGCAGCGACAGCGGCAAGAGACTGAGAGTGAGAGGGAGCGAGAGAGCGCGAACACAAGTGGCTACAACAAATGATTGTTTAGTTGTTGTTGTCGTTTCTGTTGTTGCCTGCTGACTTTTCCCACCATATGACTGCCAGTTGCAAGTGTTTGAGTGTATGTGTATGTGTGTGTGTGTGTATGTACGTTGGAGCATGTTTGTGTGTGTGTGTGTTTGTTTGCGTGTGAACGTTTAATAGTCTATTTCCGGTTTATGTGCTATTGCTGTTGCCATTGATGTTGCTGTTGCCATTGTTGTTGTTGTTGTTGTTTGCAACTAAGCTGCTGCAATTAACTTTGTAACTGGACTTGCGTGTGGCGTGTGAAATGGCGACAGTTCTGATTGTTCTGATGGGTAATCAATGCAAGAGCAATACACACACACACACACACACACACACACACGCATACAAATGCAAATATGTATGTGCAAATATCTGGATATGTACTTGGACAAGCCATAAATCATTGCAAATTAGCAACTGCTCAAGATAATTATTTTGGCTTATATCCAGTTATTTATTTTGCAAACATGAAAACAAAGCTTAATTCGAATTTTGAGACAATATAAAAGAATTTTTAAATTGATATATATAGAGATTGCAGAATATTCGTATATTGACTGCAAATATTTAATTCTCATACAGGGTAGCATGCCGTAAGCCCTGGAAACTTGAAGCCAGCTCTGCGCCTGAGGGTTTACTTCATATAACTGGTTTTTCGTTTGAATGAACTCAGATCTTGTTTGAAGAATTGGCTCGATTTGCGATTGTTAGATGGTTAGTTCTTTTTTTCATTAAAACTAATTTTTAGGTGTGTTGCTAATGATTTGATTTATCAAAATTCGAGTATATTTATTAATAGACATTAAATTTATCACAGTTATTTTTGTCTCGCTTCTCTAACTGTCATGATCATTTATATATAGCATACTTATGCACATAATTACTAATGAGCATGCATATGTGTGCACACACACGCGCACACACAGACGCACACACACACTGCGCTGCAAGTGTCAAAGTCAGCATCAGACTTCAACAGCAGCTTCCGTTTTTAACGCTATGCAAGTGCGTTTGTTTCGCGTCTTCTCTCGTTCTCTCTCTAGCTCTTTCTCCTTCTCATTCTCTGCGCTCGCACTGCGTAAGTGTCTATGTGTGTGTATGTGTGTTTGTGTTAATGACAAAGCATAGAACGCTGCTGTAGTCGCCGGAAGGCTCAAAACGAAATGAAACTTTGTGCGCATAGGCAACCAACAGCGGCGGCAGCGGCAGCAGCAGCAGCAGCAGCGCCAGCGTCGCTGAGACTTTGACGCGTTGGCAAAAGAAGCAGCAGCAGCAACAGCAACAACAGCCGCAGCAGCAGCAGCAGCAGCGACGGCAGCAGCAGAAACGTCGCTGGCAACAATGCCGCAGGCGAACCAGTTCCAGTTCCAGACGATGACGACGGCGACGACGACGACGACGACGACGTCGACATCGGGCAGCTGAAATATTTCGTAGTTGCCTTAAGGCTGTGCAAAGAAAAACTTGTGATAAATACGCCGTAGGCGGAATTTCAAAACAGGGAGAGAGAGAGGCACAGAGAGAGAGAGAGAGAGAGAGAGAGAGCGAGAGAGCGCGACGAAGTGGAAGTACAGTAGGGCATGCAGTTAGGCAGCTGTAATTAAAATGAGTGCCAGCTCTTAACCCACTCCTCCACCCCCAGATAAACCCACTCACAATCCACAGTCTCACACCCACCCACAGCCTCCACAGCACCCCTTCCCCCCGCCGCCTGTCTCAACCCTTTAAGCCAACACGCATTTATGTCACATCATTTTTCATTGGCAATTGTTAACCGAGCCGCAACTGAGCCGCGGGCGAAATTAATTTTGTACATACTTCATATTATTGCGCTATTTGCATACAAGTGGCCATTGTTGCAAGTTGCAACTTGCAACAACAACACATGTGTGTGCACGTCTGTGTGTGTGTGTGTGTGTGTGTGTGTTCATGTGAGCGATTCCAATGATTGTTCACTGCCCAGTGACATTTCAATTTTTCATATTTTATCAGAGCAACGGGTGCACAAGGCAGCGCCTAACGCCAACGTTGACGCACCAGCAACGAGCAGGAGACGGCAACGGAGCAGGAGCAGCAGCAGCAGCAGCAGCAGCAGCAGCAAGTGTAGGAGGCGACGAGCAAAATAACGTTGCCAGTGGAAATTGTTGCAATTTTATCGCTCATTTCACTCATTGTGAAATGGAGCCGAGTTGGCGGAGTGAAGGCAGGAAACTGGGCAAAGGACTAGTTCATTATTGTGCTACCCTATAGTGGAGCAACACGGCCAAAGGGTATGCTGAGATCAGCTACAAAATACTATTAATCACTTAGAAGAGACACAGCTTCAAAGTTAAGCTAAATTTTGGCTTACTGAGAAATTTGTTGTTGTTCTTCTCTAGGGTATCTCAGCGTCGCGCAGGCCACTTAGCTTGCCATTTATTACTTCTTATGGCAACAGTTGCTGTTTTGGAGCAACGCTTTACACACACCCACACACACGCACACACATGAGAGCGAAACGGGGCTTTCATATTGCTACTCTTCTTTTTCGATTTTCTGTTCTTTTTTTCGCTTTTGCTTTTTTGGGCTGCGATGACGTCGCTTTGGGTTTTGCAATTTTAAATATTTTTTTAATCACAAGCTCACGCACACATTGCCACACAAAGAGCAAGTGAGAGGGACAGCAGTGAGTGAGAGAGAGGGAGAGAGCGAGGGAGAGAGCAGTGCTCATACATATGGCAATACCAATATTTCAAGCCAATTTGCTGCAGTTAGCCGCCAGCAACTGGCAACAAAATAATTCGACAAAATGTGCGCGGCGCGCTTTATGCTTTATTGTTTGCAACGCTTCGGGCCAGTGGGTGGGGGCAGTCGTGGGCGTGGCCACACACATACGCACACGCACACGCACACACACACCGACACAGTCACACAGGCAAGTCTACAAAATCAGCGTCGACAGCCAGATGTATTTCTCTCACATGCTGCAGTAATAATTGTTGATGGGTTTTTAAAGTAGCCACAAACCACGCAGCCACGCCCACTGACCCCAGCAGGGCAGCTGGGCGCAGAAATGCATATTTATTCAAGTATGTAGTTATTTTATTTTCACCATGGCTCGTGCATTTTGCGTGTTAATCAATAAATAATAACAAACAGCAAACGGAACAGCGCGAGAGAAAGAGACAGATTGGGAGAGCAGAGAGGGAGAGAGAGCGAGAGAGCGAGCATATGAAATGGTTCGCCTGAAAGCCTTCAAACATATGTTGCTCAGAATTTCCGTACTTTTTTACGCATCATTATTATTATTATTATTTATATATAGCACACTCACACACACAGCGGTGTTTGCATTTGTATGTGTATATGTATATTTTTTGTATTATTAACGACACAAAAAAAGGCTCATAAAATTTACAATGCCTGCCCTCAGGTCTTTTACTTAATGATGCCATTTTTGCGCTGCCAACGCGGCCTGAAAAATTCGCGTTTAATTTTTAACGCACGACTGACTGCAACAACAAATATAAAAAACATATATAAGGATATAATGTGTATATGTACAAAAATAATATTAACGTCGAAACAGCAAATGGCAAAAACTCATATTTCACACATTTCATATAACATTTAAACACTATTTGCAAATATTTGTAGTCCATGGAGAGTGCTCATTAAATGGAAACTCTATATGTATAAGAAAGTTCTACAGAACTGGATTCCAAGGATTTTTTATATAATTGGTACATGTTTTCTATAGGATCTCTAGATGTTGGTTTGCTTAATGAAATTCATAAATACTTTATGTACAAAAATCTTAAAATTTATTTAGAGTTCATCAAAAAGATTTTGTGGATCATCTAGAATTTTTTTTTTAAATTTTAAATAATTCATTTGTTTTTTAACAATTTCATTTCATTGTTGTAAATTTCTTATAAAAATAAATCATTTAATAAGAAATCTATTTATTTATTAGATATTAGAGTTTATATAAACTTAAAACTAAGAAAAAGTTGAGCTCTGGATATTGGC